ACTGACAGCAAATGATCAGTAAATGTCTCAAAGGAGTCACAGCCTCTTATTATAAGAGCTCATTCGGCAGCAATTCCTTGTATTTTTATTAAAAACATAAATATTACATGTAACAGGGAACAGAAATTGACAATTTTCCTCTGTAGTCTCAAAGCACAGCAATGAGGCACTTATTGGTTCCATATCGGCTGACCAAAGACTGAGGCCAGATTCAACTTTTAATAGCAGTACAAACTCTACAGGAGGAAAAAAAAAATCCTGTCAACATAAAGTATCCAGAGACAGCTTTTAATATGAGTTGAAAAGAACTCGGTATTTCATTTCTTTCCAAATTCATCTGCAGCCAGAGAAAATTGTCTCCACATATTTTCAGTATTTCCCAATAAGCCTTGTGTGATTCTGGCACCACTTCAAGACGTTCAGACTTTCCTGTTATTATATTTTATTATTGGATTTAATTGTTCATCATACTGGTGACTGAAAAAATATTATGGTAAAACATCTGAAAGCATTTTTTTTATCACTAAACACTGCTGAATAAGTTCAATGTAATTAGTGCGTGTACCCATGTGAGAGCAAAAGCAAACACTTCAAAAGAGCGAGGCTGCAGCGGTGCAGTCAGCAGAGGTTAGATATACTGTAGCTCAGCCTTTTAAAAGTCTACTGTTTCCTTAACATAAATCAATCTGCTGAATAATGTTGCCTTCATGCAAAAGGCAGACCTTGAATTCTTTATGACTTTGGCTGTGAAGCATAACAAGAGGGAGGGCAGAGAATGAGAAACAGAGAGGGGAAGAGGAATAAAAGAAATGCCCATGTTTGATAGAGACTGTAAAAGGTTACTTTATGTGTTTGGTTTCAGCTCTTTTTAAGACATCATTTGATATTTGTGTAACCCTTCAGTGTGACGATCGCGGCCAACGACTGACGTAAATGTGCAGCTGAGCGGGAACATTGTAAAAAGGAAAGAATCCCACAGTTGGTTGTGTTCATATCATCGATGGAAGGAGTTCAATAAAACAAGCTTCTCCCAGAACATCCTTCCACATCCACTGATGATATAGTGATGGAGCATTTTAAACATTTTACTAAAAACAAAAACCTTCGATGTACATCAGCTCACTACAGGCTCTAAATATGTCCAGCTGGTGATTATAAAACTAACTTAGCCTTCTGAGCTGCAGTTACACAAATCTGCACCGATTTCTGATTTTTGGAGTGTTTGTCACTAATACGTTTCCCAGCTTGTAAAAAACTCACAAGGTTTTCTTTGGTCCGCTGATACTGCAATATGCTGCTCTGATTAATGGCAGCAAAGAAACACATGATGTGATCAATCAATTACTCGCCTGTTGAGCTGAAACAGGCCAATCCTAACACTCTGCAACTTGGACATCCATACGATTACTTGACGATGGTTTGATTGTCGTATTCTTTAAATGTACGACTGTCGCAAAGCCAATCATTTTTCAGCATGTTGTGTTTCTGTCTGAGCACATGCACAAGACACTGGGGAGAGAGGGAAATGGGAAATCTGGTCTATGCTATCTAAGTACGCTAGCGTTGGACAGTGAGACCAGTCTCTATTTGCTAACACAGTGCTGTGTACAATGGTCTGGCACCTCACCTTCATTTTGCTGGAGGGGGGAAAAGACTTGATTGTGTTTGTATCTCTTCACATCAAATCACAGTCATCTTGTGCGAGCTATGAACAAGATGCTGCGATGATGTTCACTCAAAATATTGTTGGGGGATATTGTTTGGACGGAGCATTTTAATGCAGGGAGGTGGCATTATCACTGGAATGGCTAGCTTATCCCCCACCCTCCAAAATAAAACACACACTCACAAAAAAAAAAAAAAACTTGCAGGGCGGCTGTATTTGAGATTCTAAAACTTTTTGGTGTGTAGGTTGCTGCCCAGATGTTGTTGTTTCTAGTAGTGACGGGGATTTGGAAAAACGGTAACATGTAGAGTTAAAACCAGATGTTTACATAAACTGTATAAAAAGACATTTTGCGAAACGCCAGAATAATGAGAGAGAGAATTTTTTATTACTTTATTTAAAGGCAGAAGTTTACATACATTTCCTCACTATTTGGCAGCGTGGCCTTTAAACTGTATGACTTGGGTCAAATGTTTTGGGTTTCCTTCCACACTAGTTTGCTAAATTCTGGCCCATTCCTCCTGACAGAACTGGTGGAACTGAGCTAGGTTTGTTGCCTGTCTTGCTCCACACGCCTTTTCAGCTCTGCCGACAAATTTTCTATAGGATTGAGATCAGGGCTTTGTGATGGCCACTCCAAAACACTGACTTTGTTGTCCTTAAGTCACTTTCTAAGTAATCTGGTGGTATGTTTATGGTCATTGTCCATTTGCAGGACTCATTTGCGCCCAAGCTTTAACCCCTGGCTGATGTCTTGAGATGTTGCTTCAATATTTCCACATAATGTTCTTTCCTCATGATGCCATCTATTTAGTGAAGTGCACCAGTCCCTCCTGCAGCAGAACACCCCCACAACATGATGCTGCCACCCCCGTACTTCACAGATGGGATGGTGTTCTCAGACTTGCAAACTTCCTGCTTTTTCCTCCAAATGTAATGATGGTCATTATGGCCAAACAGTTCAGTTTTAGTTTCATCAGACCACTGGACATGTCTCCAAAAATTAAGGTCTTTGTCCCTGTGTGCATTTGCAAACTGTAATCTGCTTTTTATGTTGCTTTTGGATTAATGTCTTCTTCCTCTCTAAGTATCCTTTCAGCCCATGTCGGTACAGGACTGGTTTCACTGTGGATAATGACACTCTGACCAGCTTCAGTAGCATCTTCACAAGGTCTTTTGCTTTTATTCTGAGGTTGATACGCACATTTTGCACCAAAACACTTCATCTCTGCGACACAGAACCCGTCTCCTTCCTGAGCGGTATGATGGCTGGACATTCCCATAGTGTTTATACTTGTGTTTAATTGTTTGAACAGATGAACGTGGAACCTTCAGGCATCTGGAAACTGTACCCAAGGATGAAGCAGACTTGTGGAGGTCCACAATTCTCTTCCTGATATCTTGGCTGATTTCTTTAGATTTTTCAGTGTTGTCACAAAAGGAAGCAGTGTGTTTGAGGTGTTCCTCTCGAACTGGGCAGGATTACTATTGCAACACCACATCATCAGTAGGGTAAAACTAACCTGTCTCACGACGGTCTAAACCCAGCTCACGTTCCCTATTAGTGGGTGAACAATCCAACGCTTGGTGAATTCTGCTTCACAATGATAGGAAGAGCCGACATCGAAGGATCAAAAAGCGACGTCGCTATGAACGCTTGGCCGCCACAAGCCAGTTATACCTGTGGTAACTTTTCTGACACCTCCTGCTTAAAGTCCCAAAAAGTCAGAAGGATCGTGAGGCCCTTAAAATACATCCACAGGCGTGCCTCCAATTACCTCAAATGTTGTCAGTTAACCTATCAAAAGCTTCCAAAGCCATGACATCATTATCTGGTCTTTCCCAAATAGTTTGAAGACATAGTAATGTTAGTGTATGTAAACTTCTGACTTTGAAGAAAGTAAGAAAAAATTCTCTAAAAAAATCTCTCTCTTATTATTCTGGCATTTAGCAAATAAAAATAATTTTGGTAATCCTAACTGACCTAAAACAGGAAAAATTTAGTCTGATTTAATGTCAGACTGTGAGAAAAAAAGGTTATATGTCTTTTTATACAGTGAATGTAAACGTCAAGTTTCAGCTGTAGATAGCAGAATGGGAGAAGAAAGTTGTGTGAAATGTTTGGCCAATGTCAGGCTTGTATCCACAAATTACACCCAGTGAGTCAGACTAAAATATGCAAATTAGCTAAACATCCAGTTCACATTTAAAGTATGAAAGTCTATTAAAAGTCTTCCACTATAAAATACTGAGGAAAACTTGAATTCAAGTGCCCATATATTCTCTCATCTTAAATATAAAACAATAAACAACCTTTCAAGTGAAGTCACAAACAATGAAATCAGCTAAATTGAATTTGACAACAACAGTGTGTCTCAGAGGACTCGTTTCGTTCACACCTCCGAGTCACTCAGGTGTGAGCATTTTGAACATTGTGAGTGTGTGTTCGTGTGTTGTACCTCTGAGTGTAAAGTGTTGCTGCTGCTCTCTGTCCAGGTAGGAGGTGGTCGTGATCAGACCGGTGTACGGGTTGATGCTGAAGAGCTCGTAGCCGGGACCGGGCAGCAGACTGTACCACACCACGGCGTTCTCCTCTGAGGGACGGACACAGGAGGTGAACACTGTTACTGACCTCAAAGCACTTACTCAATTCTTATGATGATTGTGATTGATTTATGGTACCCAGCTACAAGAACCAAGATGATGAAAATAGTCCCTGCTAGCTGCCAAAACTAAAATCTGTGTAATAAAATCAGCTACATAGTGTATATAACCTTGAAAAACAATACAGGAGAGAAATAGTCTGTTTTCCATGGGATGATGTAGATCTAAAACGACTTGATACTCCACGCTCATGTTCTCCTGGAGTTTTCTGGATATTTTCTGGTTTAGTTTTGCACCTCATCAGATGAGTTCATGTTTATGGCTGCTTCTGTTTCAAACAGTCCTTATCTGAATGTCTAATTGGAACCAGAGCGACGGGGGAGTGAATGACAGTCACTTGGTTCTGCTGCTCACTCGTCTAATGGTTCTTCTGCTTGTAACCACACACTGACTAACAGAAACAAGTTCACATCACAGTACACACAAACTGTGGTGTTGATGCTTATTGTTTCCCAGCAGCTGCAGCACAATAATGCGTCACCTCAGTATCGGAAGACTTCTTTAGAAAGTCATACAACTGCAAAGTGAACAGTCTCAGTTACAAGAGCTCTTGTGCCACTTGATGTTGAAACATAAAAAATAAAGACAAATCAGTGTTGTGACACATTTGCTGGACTTATTCTCAAGAAATAGTCGCGATAACAACAGTTGGCTCTGTGGGGTGAATCGTTTTTTTCTTTTCTGAGTGAAACTTCAGGTATTTTTCTTAAAATTTGAGCGAACTCCCTTTTAATGGTGTTGTAGGTTGTAAAATTATTGTTGGTGTTTTTTTTTTAACTGGATCGACTCCTGAATAATTAGAAAATGTGTTACAAAACGTATCAAAAGGATGTTGAGTGAGCATTTATGAAGCCTCACTTAGTCTATAACGTTTGAATCCAATGTCATATTTGCTTGGTTTTGAAAACTCGGTTGTTCTTTCTTGTAATATTAAATTGTACTGACAAATACACAGCATTGTTTTTTAAGTGTATCACTTTACCAGCCTGATTTTTAACTAATAATTGACTGTTTGCGAGGACGTTGCTTTGTAATAAAGTTGCTGGCGGGCAGCAGAGGTACAAAACTGTGATGTATTTTGTTTTTTGTCACTGTGCATTTGTAACCAAACTCATTTCTGCTCGTCACAGATCCATTTATTTTAAGCTTACTGTGTGACACATAACATCGTGCTGCATATTCATCACTTTTTCCTTCACAATAAACTGTGTTTATAACATACACAGCAAATCCTTCATACTTCTGATGATTACATCTGGCAAAAAAATGTGAGTTTCTGCAAAAAAAGACGACAGAAAATCTGATCAAATCTTAACTTCAAACTACTGTATAAACAAACTCCATCTGTCTTATTGTCACCCAACAGACAGTACAGTGACTCATCAAAAATAAATAAAATCTCTCCACACATATGAACACTCGCTCTACTCAGTAAAATCCAGGATGTGCGACACAAAGGTTAACTGTCACACTTGTTGATCGTGCTCATCTCCTCTGACTCACTCCAACACATGCAAAGTGGATACAGAGACGAGCACAAAACAAAGGTCATCTTTGGTGAGGAGGGGGGGGAAGAAAAAAAAGCAGTGCAAATGATAATCAAATAAGACTGGTGGGAGAGCGGGCTGAGCTGCCAGACGAGGCGATCCGAGGAGACAGATGAAAACACGGCGCCTATTGGCACAGATGGCTTGGATTATGGAAATCATCACGAGAGAGGACCTTTCAAATCTCCCAGAGGAGCTGTGTGCTTGCTGTTCTTGGACAATTCTCACCCCCAAGAATGTTAGTTCACATCGAATAGCTCTCCTGTACAGATCCTGCAGCCACATGCCCCCCCCCGAAACCTCCAGTATTTAAAAAGACTCCTACTGTCAACATGACGAGACGAAATGGGATTTAGGAGGCCCTGCGCTCAATGTGTTAAAATAAACAGGAGTGATGTGTAGATTTGTGAATATGATTAGGGGGTCAGATTCGCTGGGATGTACAATGAACAGAGCTCGTGGAAAAGACACAAACTGCACAACATGCGAGGAAGAGGGCAGGGGTTGGATTCAATTAAACTGCTAATGGAGTGAAGGAAAACTGACGGTAACCTTGATTCTAAGCACGCTGAAGTTCAACCAAAACATGGCAGCGGCTCACCGTGCCATGCTGCTCAACTGTATTTAGTCATGTGGTACCGCGTTTTAAAAATAATAAACACGGACCGCGGCGTTAAACAGAACAAGTTGTCGGGGAATTTCCTCTTTTTACCACTTTATTACTGGAGAAAGTAATCCATTCAATCCGACATAACTATTAAAACACACCATTATTGTGCAGCTCTTTGCTTTTATTTTATTTTCGTGTATCATGGTGCGGTTTTATGCCCACTGGATCTCTGGTTTGAGACTTCAAGGACACATGCTAGTGCTGCCACCTAGGCACCTTGGAGGCAAACTGCCATGTCCACTTCAACAGCAGGACTATTTAAGGCTTAACTTGAATTGGTGAAAGTTGCAAGTCCAAACATTTCATTCATTTTGTTGTAATTTTCCAACAATTTTCTTTCAGTTTCTTAAATAACCTTTTTTTTTTTTTATTCGTGCAGCCCCAAACCACACACTTGTACTAAAGGGGTTTCCTGACACTGTCAACTCTGACTAAAAATGTCACACAATGGGAGAAATAAGAGGAAAATCAACAAAAAGGCAACAGGTGCCATATTGATAAAGTAGAGGCCATAAGACGGAGGGCAGATAGTCTGATCTCTGGATCACGACTTACAAAATCCAGGATTCTGATCAGATCTAATTCAGCTGCCTTTGTGTCGTCGTATCACTCATGTTCATTCAATTCAACTGAATCCAGTTTTATTTGTATAGCGCATTATGTCTTCTCGCAGCGCTTAACATAGTAAGATAAAGACCTTGAGAATTGAAACAGAGAACCCAACAATCCAACGTTGCCTTTGGACTCCCTCTGAGCAAGCGGTTGGCAACGGTCGGAACGAACCAAAAAATCCATACTTTATTTTCCTTAACGTACTACTTTTGCGTCAAGGCAGTACATATATATATATTCGAAAGAATCACTGTATTAGAGAAACTACATATGTGGTTGCAGCTTTCAGGACCTAAGCTGAATAAAATTATGAAGCTTGAAGTTCAAGTTATTTACTCATAAACACTTTGATCACTTAATTACAATAGAACCTACTTCCTGACTAATTCAGTTGAAAGGTCAACCAAAAATTAGGAAGTAAACTTTCAAATCATTTTGCCAAGCTGCTGTTCAGAAGGATAAACTTTTTTTTTTTTAAACAATTTTCTTGAATATTTATTTCATACATTCCATATGGAAAATATGACTAGACAGGAGCTGAAACAGATTGTTCTCAGTTCTCAGTTTGAATGATTTTTGGCGACTATTTGTATTATTTGTCGACATACTTAGTATCTTTAGTCTTTAAGAGCTGTTTAGAGCCATCTGTAACATCACATTCAGCCTTTTGAAACAATTGGATCATTTTTTAATTGAGAAAGTGACGTATGAATCAAATAATAAAAACAATTGCAGGCTGAAGCCCTACATTAAATATAAGACTGTTTAATAATTAACTTAATCTCATTTTGGCCATTATATGATCACACATCACCAAACCAAAAATAGGAGGCAAATAGCTGATAAATATTACCGGAGTCCTCATCGGTGGCAGAGACTCTGACTACAGGTTCTCCAGGGTCCCTGTTCTCGGCCACACTGGCGTTGTAGGTGTCCTGACTGAAGACGGGCGCCTGGTCGTTCACATCGCCCACCTCCACCGTCAGGGTCTGTGTGGAGGACAGCGAGGGAAGGCCGTGATCCACCGCTCGGATGGTCAGACGGTGGAAACGTTGAGTCTCATAGTCCAGAGGGGCCGAGAGGAACAAGAGGCCTAAAGAGGATGGAAGAGTTTGAACGTGACGGTCAGAAGAAGCACTAACGTCCTGACAGGAGAAGGATGAAAATGTTTTAAGATATAAGGTAAATGTAGATCGATCAGGGTTGATGTCAACTCTGGCCTGTAACTGCCAGTGGAGTGGTGGAAATGACAACAGAAACTGCTTATAACACATGAAAGTACTCTAGTAAAGGATATACGGTCTGTAAAAAGATCAAACTGCTTCAAATGTTTACAATAGACCAACGGATGTACACTTATAGAGCAATTATGTATTTTTAAAAACTGTTATTTTTATTCCATTGTAAAGATGCATATCGTCTATTTCTTCATTATTTTTTACTATGTAATGCAAGTGAATAAAAAGAATCAGCACATGTTTAACCTTCATGACAATTAAGTTCGGGTTAAGACAGATGTGAGGGTGTTATTGTAGCAAAACTATTTGTCAATGCGTATGGAGAGTTGTGTGTCTGTATCTCGATCTGTGTGTCTGTAGTCAGATTTGTCAATGTGTAAAAAGATCTGTCAATGCTTACAAAGATATTAATAGATGAAAAGTCTAAGTATTTGGCTACAAGTGCTGGAAATACAGACAAAATAACCAGTTGCACATGACTTTTGCTGCACTTCTGCCATGAGAGATTTGTATTTGTAATTTCATGGTTTCTTTGCCCTGATCTCAGGCTCACAGGCTTGTTCATTCTGCCTGCATGCCATCAGGTGGCGCTATCCCCCAGAGTCATTGAGGGCACACAACATTGTCTGGTACATGCGAACAAGTTACATTTGCTGAGTTTGTGTGTCGCTGAGCAACAACTTTCATGATGGCTTGCAGGTGGCATAACTACTGAGGTACAGAGCAGCAGAGTGGTACGCAGCCAGAATGAACCCAAAGACACACAGCATGCAAAAACCCTGAAGTTACAAATCTCTCACAGCAGAAGTGAAGTGTAGCAAAAGTCATGTGTAAAAAGACAGCCAATGGTGAGGCCCGCTTGACTTGGAAATGGTGATTTGTTTGTATTTCCAGCACTTGAAGCCAAATACTTAAGACTTTTCATCCACTAATATCTTTTGACGCATTTACAGATCTTTGTACACACTGACAAATCTTTTACAAATCTTTTTACACATTCACAAATCTCCCTACAGACACACAGATTCAGATAGACACACAGCTCTCCATAATACCCTCATAGACAGACTTCTTATGCAGATTTCCAGCGTGCAAAAACCAAACCATACCTGTTTTCTCCTCCAGTGTGAAGAATCCTCTGTTTCCAGCCATGATAGAGAAAGAGACAACTCCATTTTCACCTTGATCTCCATCTATGGCCACAAAATGATGCAGCAGACTCCCCACCTCAGCGTCCTCCATCACCTGAGCCGTGTCTGCCGATATGAACACGGGCCGGTTATCGTTCACATCCAGCAGGAAGAGCTGAGCCGTCACCGACGTCTGTTTTCGCTCATCCTTCTTCGTTGCCTGGTCGGTTGCGGTTACGGTGAAGGCAAAGCTGGGGTTGCTCTCGCGGTCTAGAGGTGCCGCCACGGTCAGGCTCCCTGTGTAAGGGTTGATCTGAAAGGGGAAGCGGGACGACGACCTGCTTGCATCAGGGTCAAAGGTCAGGGAGTAGCGGAGGGCGCTGTTCGGAAAAGTCCCATCGGCGTCTCTGGCGTGAAAAGCAAACACGAGCGAACCGACGGCAGCGTCCTCCCTCAGACCGAACATCACCAGTTTGTCGGTGAACCAGGGGGTGTGGTCGTTTACGTCCTCCACCATCACGCTCACCAGCACCGATACGTTCAGGCCAGGAGCAGGGCCGACATCCTCGGCACGAACCATGAGGAAGTACTGCATGGCGGACTCGTAGTCCAGCGGCTGGTTGATGTATATGTCACCAGAGGAGCTGTCGATGCCGAAGTGAACGCTCCCGTCGCCCTCGGTGATGGAATAATGAAACCTGCCTTTGTCTGAAACAGCCGCGGAGCCGATGACAGTCGCGGGCTCCGTGTCCTCCCTCACCTGGAAACGTCTCACTATTTGGTGGTGGTTGTGGCCATACAGATCCTCTAATCCATGAATCTGCAGGTGGAAAGCAAACAGTGTCATGTTCTGTTTATTCACACATCAAACCACTGAAGGATGAATGAACACAAGGAAGACTTTAAAAGATTTGGTGATGGGAACAAAAGTGCCACAAACTGTGTCATGTTGATCAAACTGAGGAGATAAAATATCTTTCTATGGGGGAGATTAAAGAGGGAAAACCTCCCCCAGCATGAAACAGTTTGGACATAAACATAGAGCAATTTCTCAGTCCAGTGCCTTTATTATAAAACCTCCAGATAAAGTAATGTCTCCCTTGATGCCCGGCTTAAGGCGACTCAGTGATTTGTTTTTGTCAAAATCAAAATCATAACACTGTCTTTAATTTTTGTTCCTGGACAGTGGTAAAAGTACTTATTATACTGTATGGAGTATGCAAATGTGCAACCCTCGGTGTAATAAATATAAAATAAATCAAAATGGAATCATTTTTCAATATTTGCAAGTTGAACAGTGGGGAACTCCTTTATGACGGCAGATTGGTGACCAACTAAGAATCGGTTCACACACAGTTGTGGCAGTAATCAGAAAATATAGAATCTTAGTTTATGTTCATTAAATTCTTTAAAAAAAATCTTAAAGTCATCATAACTGCCTCTGCTTTGGGAGTTCAGTGATAAGGAGAACGGCAAAACGGAAATCCTGTTCCCTACAATAAACTAACTAAGACTGAATACTGAGGCTAAGTTAGGATCAAATACACCATCCATGCAGCAGGAATTTCACTACAAAATACTACAAATCATAGTATAGGAGGACAGACTGCACCTGGACGTGAATGACTGCAGTCTCCTCCTGAGGCGTGGCTCCGCTGTCCTTGGCCGTTATTTTCAGACTGTAGTACGGTTCAGCGTTCTGGGTGAAGAGCTGCGTGGTTCTGATGTCTCCACTTCTGCTGTCAATCTCAAAGTGTCCCAGATCATCATCCTCCAAACCAACTGGGAAGAGAAGTTACAACGAGGTGACGCTCAGGGGCTCGTAAGTGCCACTAACTATACGTTTTGTACATTTAAGACACACATTTATGGCTCACCTGTGACCAGTGAATGAGTAACTGTTCCATTCTCTCCTGCATCCAAATCTTTGGCAAACATGTTTGTTACTAAAGATCCTGTTGGTAAACCAGCCCATATCTGCAATAAGAAAGAGAAAACGCAGAATTCATCAACACACACGACAAAAATGCCAACCATTAAAGATATGTCACTGCAGCTTTGTAAAGTTGATTCTAAACTCTTTCCTTCCGTTATAAAATCCAGTGCTTGCATCTGTGTGAGTTAATTCATGTCATATCACTGTTGACATGAACCCACAGATCGGAATTGTGCCTTCAGAGTCATTTAAAGTCATTTTAATGAGCCATCCCGGGAGGCAAATGCTAAAGAGTGGTAAAAGAAAGTTGTGCATCCTGACACACTGTAAGGTGGACACCCACACCGAGCTGAACTGAGGTCAGATTTCAGAGCATTGATCTCTATTTAAATTACGATTGATTCATAATCTCCTCCTCCTTCTCCTTTTTTTTGGGAATTTTTCTCTAAACACATAAATGCCACAAGGACAAAGGCTCCATTCATGCTTCGCTAGTTTCTTTTTCGTGGATGGATGGCGCACGCTTATGACCTTTTATTCTTGCGCATTCACGTTAACTCACGTACATCGTATGCTGCGATTCAGCTTGTGTTTTCATCGTGCAATCTACACACAGCAAACTTTATTAGATTCATGTTGTACAGTGCACCGAGCTGTGAACTTATACATTTGTTAAAATGGCAGTTTGTAGCCGGCCTTCAAGTTGTAATGCTGAAGATTTCCGTTTGCTTCTCTTTGGCAGCATCTACAGTGATACGCTGCAGCTGTGTGTCTTTCTAAACCTCATTTCACGGAGACAGAAACAGTGTCGTCTGTGTGATGACTGGGCAACACCTCCGAAACAATTTGAGGTCAAAGCAACCAGAAAGTCAAAAAGGGAATCGTGTCTTCTGAGATGACAGTAGAGGACGAACAGAAGCTACCTCACACACACACAGGGGAGTAGAAGAACGTATCGGTCGCTTTAGCTCCGCCTGCTCTCCCATGAAGAACGTTAACTGCTGGAGCATACGTTGCTAACTGTACATAACTTGTGATTTTTCATGGGAATGACACACAGTACTATAAATGCAAATTGTGTTTCCTCAGTTAACAGACATGTATTCAGATGAAAACCCTTTAAGATTTAACCAGTGGACACCTAGAAATGACTCCTGCCTACCTGCACATTCAGTTCTTTGCTGGCTGGCAGGTGTGTAAACGTTGGAGCGTTGTCATTGACGTCGGTGATCAGGATGTGAACGGTGGCGGTGGCGTTGAGACGAGGGTGACCCTGATCTGTCACCATCACCTTCAGACTGTGCTGGCTGTGCTGCTCCCGGTCCAACGCCACCCAGTTGATGATTTCGCCTGGACGGATAGAGAAGGCAGAGGATGGGGAAGCTGCTCAACACAGTAAAGCACATGGTGACTCATAGACGCTGTGATTGTTGTACCTGTTTTAGAATTGATGCGGAAGAACTTCCCATCTGAAAGCAGGATGTAGGACAGCTGGCTGTTTTTCCCAGAATCCTTATCGATGGCTTTAACGGTTCCCACCAGGCCTTGTGGCGATGAGCCCTCTGACACGGTGAAGTAGTAGACGTCACTGCCGAACACCGGGGCGTTGTCATTGATGTCCAGCACCAGCACTATCACTGAGGCTGTAGCCGTGGTGTTTGCCAGTGAGGCCTCCCTGGTTGTAGCCAACACTTTAAAACGATACCTGGACTCTGTCTCGTAGTCGAGGCTTTGGGAAAGATACAACCATCCAGTCTTTGGGTGAATCCGAAACGGAGCTGGAGGGAACCCAGCTTCTGCCTCCAAAGAGTAAGTGAGGCCTGAGTTTGACATATGAGCTCCCCGAGTCCGGTGAGCCCTCACCTGGATGACCCGAGAGTCTTTACGGTAGCCTTCACCGATCTCCACCTGGTAGACGAGCGTCTCGAAGGCCAGGCTGTCCTCTGCAGCCGTCCGGTCTATGTTCACTGAGAGGGTCAGTGTGGAGCTCAGAGAAGGCTCTCCTTCGTCTTTAGCTACGATTTCCAGGCTATAGCTCTGCTGACGATCCGCCTGTAAACTCTGTTTTAATGTAACTGTTCCAAGGTTGTGGTCAACAACAAACGTACCGTTTCTGCTGTTCCTCAGGTAGTACTGCACCCTCCCATTGGTGCCGCTGTCATAGTCGTGTGCGTGAGCGATGAACAACACCGTTCCTGCTGGAGTGTTTTGTGACACTGTGATCGAGTCGCTGCGTTTGGGGAAGACGGGGGCGTTGTCGTTAACGTCGGCAATGGTGATGTTGACCTGCGTGGTGCTGTAAACAGGAGAGGTGTCGGTGTAGGACTGGAGGACCAGCAGAGCGTACGGCTGAGACTCGTGGTCCAGAGGTTTGACGATGCTGATCAGACCGGACTTCGGATGAACGGAGAACAAACTCTGAGGGTCTCCAGAAGAGATTCGGTAAGATGCAGATTCCACAGAGTCTGTGAAGACAAACAGTTTCTCACTGAGATTTGAAAGACAGAACATCTCACCAACCTTTAGTGGTTGTATGGAAACATGCAGGTGGTTTTGGTTTAGTAGTAAAAATTTGTCAGTTTTGTGTCAAAGAAAATGGTCCAACAGTCCTCTCAGCAATAAAATTTTAAAAAATTACATTCCAAAAATGCAACCTTGGATAAAAAGCTCCCGTGCCCTCTTGTCTTATTACAGCAGGCATTGTGTACTGTTCTAATCCTGACAGCACACTGTTTGTTGTAAAGTAATAAACATGAGTTGCTGTTTTATTCTTACATAACACAAACTTCAAAGATCTATGACTCATCTTTGTTTCCTGTGGTGTTTCTGTATCAGACCTTTATTATAAACTGACTATATTCTATTTTTCCCCCAATGTGAACATCCTACACACTAAAAATCTGATGAAAATTAGCATCTAAACGTTGTGACACAGCTACTGTCCTCATTACTCTGACAGCTTTTATAGGGACAATTTCATCACTAGAAAGTAGGTCCAAAGAGAAGGATCACAGAGTCTGTAGACTATAAAAAGCTGCTTTTTCTAGGAGATATTTTTTTTAAAATGGAATTTGTTCTTATTCCTATTGGCATCACAAATAAACTTTACCCTCTATTTACCTCCAGTGTATTGCTATTTCTCAAAACAAGGCCAAACCAAACTATTTGCAAGGCAACAGCTAAGAGAGAATAAAAACATACATATAATTTGTAATTTTTATCAGTCAGACTTTTGTACAAAACATGAAGTCGTGTGTTAATTTTATTTAGTGTCTCAAAGGTAACTAGTCATACACAAGCGCCAAAATAAACAAAACTAAAATGTTAAGACACTTTTAACAGTTAAAGCCTAAAATGCTGGACTGTGTGAGTGTTGTGGGAGGACTGATGATGTTTGACTTTTGACCTTTGACGACTACAGAATCTAATCAGTTCATCGTTTTGCTTCTGAGTGAACGTTTGTGCCAAAATTGAAGAAATTCCCTAAAAACGTTTAAACAGATATTATGCTCACAAGAATGAGGCGAAAAACCAGAAAACATAACATCTGCGGCCACAGCTGTCATACGCACAGACACACAAGTAGTCTCTTAACATATTCTGTGTTGGGTTAATTGGTTTGTAAAGTTAAAGTAGAACAGCCACTTCCTCAGTGTGCAGGTTCAGGGATTTATAGTATTTTAAACAGCCAAGTAGCGTCACATCCAGATATATTTAAGGATATAAACATTAGGTTTAAATTGGGCGGAAAAACACACTGCAAGCTGTTTTACTGACATGAGAACACACATCTCCCTCACACACATAAATACACCCACACACACCCACACACTAAGCTACATTAAGTAATTACAGCGCCGGTCAGAAGATCCCGTTAAATCCCCTCCGAGTGTTTGCTGCACTTCAGCGGTAACTACAAACCACTGAAACAAGCAAAGAGCTTAGCGCAGGCCGACCCCTGTCAAACAAACCCAGTTCTGTTGTTTGTGCTTTAAGTTGAGGCGTTAATCTGTTAATTGATTAGACAGCCTTAAATGACTGTCTAGCGTAGCAGAGGGGTTTAGCTGTTGAAGGGACTCAGCGGAGTAACAAAAGGACTATAGTGAGATAATCCTGGAAACTGGAGAGCTGAGAAAACCCTCCACAGAGAGGAGCCTGAGGTCTAGAATATTCTGATGAAAAATTAGAAATAGTATCTGCCCTTCCAATATAAATAATGTTCACTTTTACCTGCACTTACAACAAAAACATGAACTCACACATTTTTAAAGAATAGATATATTTATAACAACAAAAGAAAAAGACACAAGTCTGAGCAGATTTATGATGTGTGTGACCTCTAAGAGTGCAGATAAAATATACAGTACAACTGGCTGTGAGCCTTTATTATCTGTCATGACTTCATGTGGCTTCAGGAGGATTAAAGATTAAACCGTAGCCTTCCTATTTACCGCTGCTCTCTTCATGTCTGGAAGCAGATTTGACGAATGACAGAGATCACTCCACTGTTTTTTGCCATAGTCATCTGTCAGGATAAATCCTATTCAAAGCTGCCTTTGTGCACAATATCAGTCACATTCAAAACAGGTGCAGTAACTATTGTTTTTTAACAGAAATTTCAAGATGCAAATCCTTGCACACGATTTAAACTTTCCAAAACTGACTTGCATTTCTTTACTGGGTTTGACCAACCATTTATCATCATGTATCACAGCAATGTAACTTTTAATAGCAACTTTCATATTTGATCACATGCATGCCCTGAACCAGGATCAGCTGTAGCTTTGACATTGTAGATTCTTTACAACAATCCCTACAGTTTCTTCAGTGGTATGCTCTTCTGTCTGGTAGCACATGGACAAGTTATTATTGGTACAGACAATTATCAGATACTATACAGGAGATGACTTTTATATAGCTTACCTGCCTAAATTGTATTAAGGTTTAAAGCTTCGCATAATAAAGGAAATGGCTGCTTTGAGTGACAGACGGGACAGTCAACAGCCCTGATATGTTTGCATCGTCTACCTCAGCTCTACTCATGGTCTATAGTTTTGAGCCATCACACTGAGCTACTAAACCGCTCTTAAGGAGACCTGTGGGCGACGTCACAGAGATTTTGTCCATGTTTATATAAAACTAATGTCCGCTGCCTATGAACGCCAAAGAATAAATGTTTCAAAGAGTTCCTTTAATTAAACATAGGTGAAATGTATGAGGTGTGTCAGAAAAGTTCCAGGACTGGTGTCACAAAAGATATATTTCAAACACAAACTACGAGTTTTCCCTTCAGACGATCAGAGGCAAGAGGCGAGAGTTGGACAAGTCGTGGCTGCTTCACCATGACAACGCTCACAATGCCCTGAGCATCCTACAGTTCCTGGCTGAGAAGAACATCACCGTGCTGGAGCAACCTCCCTACTCACCCCACCTGGCTCCATGGGATTTTTTTTTTTACTCCTCCCCAAGCTCAAGGGGGTCATCAAGGGGACCCGTTGTGAAGACGTGGACGACATCAAGAGTGCATGGCGGCGTGGCAGAGAAGGCTGGGAAAGTGTGTTAGAATCCAGGGGCATTGCTTCGAAGGGGAAATTTTAGTAGTTAGTAGTTTGGATTTGAAATATATCTATTGTGACACCAGTCTTGGAACTTTTCTGACACACTTCGTATATTTGCTTATTTCTGGATTAGAATAAGAAGCACTGCCATGATGGTGACAGAGCCACCACACTGAGCTACTAAACCGCTCTTAAGTTGACCTGTAGTCACAGAGATTTTGTCCATGTTTATATAAAACTAATGCCCTCTACCTATTAACGCCAAAGGATAAATGTTGAAAAGAGTTCCTTTAGTGAAACACTGGTGAAATGTATATATGCAAAAGCATTGCAGTGAAGTTTATGTTCATGTAAATTTTGACACCAAGATATCCATTTTTATTGCAAATATTGGGTATCTGCCACCTTGGTTAGCGATAACTGGCTTTAGCCCTGAGAAAACCTCATCAGTCGACCCTCTAAAACCCTCTTACCGGTTGGGTTGATGGCCTCCACGGTCCCTACGGACGTCCCCAGCGGTGCGTCTTCAGGCACTGTGAAAGAGTAGCGTGACCTCTGGAACACAGCTGGAGCCTGAACGCTTCGTAAAACGTTGACTGTGACCTCTGCGGGTCTGGCTGAGGTCAAGCCCTCCCCGTCCTGAGCTGTTATGGAGAGTTTCACACTGACGGTGCCCAGGTGGGTCAGAGTGGAGGTCAGGATCAGCATTCCTATGGGGAAGGACACAAGGTAAAGTTAGGTTTAGTTTAACTGCAACATTCGAGCCAGACAATCTTTCCGGTTTATATCTGAACGTCATCTCAATAGCATCTAAGTGAAGGTTTGCCATTTTATCTTTTTCTTTTCCTTTTTTTTTAAGAAGTTGGAATAAAGATTATTTTATCAGCAGAAATCAACAAGTGTTTTGATTGACAGATCATGTCTTACAAAAGTCTTTCTCTGGTTTAAGCTTTCCAAATGTGAGAAATTGCTTATTTCATATTAGTATAAGTAGAATATTTGGGGGTTTTGAACTGCTGGCTAACAAAACAAGTTGCTATAATACATCACCTTAGGCTCTGAAAAATAATAATGCATTTTATTGACTAATTACATTTCATCCAAAGAATTATATTTTAAATAAACATGATTAAATCAAATATTATTTGATTAGAAAAAATTTACTCCAACATGAAAATGGCTATTTTCTGATTCTTTTCAAATCTGATGTGACTTAAAATTGTTTTGTTTAACCTCAAACTGTTAACAGAGTTCATCAGCGGTAAACAAATCTGTTTGTTTACTGTTATTAGTGGTCAGACAGCCATGTGACGACAGATGGCTTAAGAATGTGACTCATTTTTGTCACCTAAATTCACCGAGCAATCCCAGAGCAGCAAACATGAAGCCTGTACAAGAGCCAACCGGGAATCAGAACTCCTGCTTACATCACGTACTTAGTTGGAAAAGCATTCATGTGCAGCGAGAAACACACGAGCAACTTTAAAAATGTTTCCTTGATTTACCTGTTTTGAGTGTTTCGTGTTACATCGTGGCTGAGTGCAAATCGTATCTGACCCACAGCCACATGGGGATCTAAAGCTTTTGGGCTTTCTGCATCCGCCCCTGCTGAGCGGTGACACTGGCAATCATATCACGTGGACTTACACAAAGTAGGTAGTTGTTTATCCCTGAATACTGCCGCTGCCAGTCAAACAAGTTACTTAAAGACTAGTGAGTGGATATATGTGACAAATCAAGCTTGAGAAGTCATTTAAATACAGTTTGAAACTCCAGCCCACATCAAAATTAAAACACAACCTGCTGCTACTTGGAGACGCTGAAACGCTGAAAATTCTGTCAATCTAATGTCAGTGCCTACATTTTTTAATGCCCCTACCTGTTTCTTTTTCCAGTGCAAACAAACTGGACATGTCGCCAGGGACGATATCGTAGGTGACACGTCCAAACCTGCCAGAATCTCGGTCGGTAGCGATAACGTTGACGATTTCTGTGCCCGGCTGTGCATGACTGCTGACGCTCACGGTGTACTCTTCAGGGTTGAACACTGGAACGTTATCATTCAAGTCCTCGACCTCAATGTGCACGTAGGTTTGAGCGCTGAGGCCTCCCTGAATGGGAAAGAAGAGGGTTTTATTAGGAACACGGATGAAGAGACTACATTTTGGAAGTCGAATCCAACTTGATCTTCTTACAGAGTCATTTACACCAGTATGTCAGAGGTGATTAGTCATGAAAAAGCCCACTCACTGGATCCTCAGCTTTGATCAGAATGTCGTGGACCGTCTGTCCTGCATCTCGATCGATATCCTGCGAGACACACAGCTCTCCTGTGTGTGGGTGGATTTGGAAGAGGGGATGTTTGTCCTGTTTGTCAAAGCCGTCAGACAGAGAGTAGAGCAGAGCACCAAACTCAGGACTGTCTGCATCTGTCGCAACAACCTAAAAACAAGAGAAATACGTGTATGAAAATGAGAGGGGCAACGGGGGAAACATAGAGCATGTGTGTGCCATTATTCATCAAGGAGGATGTGCTGTCTTTATTGTGTCTTAAAGATTTCAGTTGATGCTGTTAAGAGATACGCAAACTTCTTTTTCACACACCAATGAGGAAAAAAAGAAGGTAAAACATGGAAAAAACCACAACTACAGATTTCACATCTAGTTGTGAAAGTCATCCTATACGTGTACACAGAAAAATGCAAGATTAATAATAAGTCAGCTAGTTCATTAAACAAGGATGGAGTTATAACTGGAGTACAAGTTAAAACCTGAAATGTTAAATCGGCTGAAGGTATATTTGCAAGTTCTACAGTCGTCCTCAAATGTATTCAAATCCTTCCATTAAAGAAAAGGCAAAATTCACAATAGTCACTCAAATAACTAGAAACTGAAAAAAGTAATAATAAATAAAAATGTGCTAAATTATAATTTAGTACAATAAGACATTGCTTTTGAATTGTGGTTGAAAAGAATAGTTAAAAAAAATATAAAAACTGTCCCGGACCAATTAGAGCACATTTCTGATGAGCAGTGGACCAAAACACCTGTCAACAGGTGCAGAAGTCTGATTGAGAGTTACAGAAAACACTTGATTGCAGTGATTGGCTCAAAGGGTTGTTCAACAAAATATTAGTTTACGGGTCCTATCATGCTTGTTTTTTTTTTGTTTGTTTTTTTAAAAATATTTCTGTTGAACCACAATTCAAAAGCACTGTCATGATGTTCATTAAATTTTCATCTGTGATTACTTTTGTCAATTTCAACTTACTTCAGTGACAGCTGTTTTTTCTCCCTACTTTAATGGAAGGGTATGATTAAATTTAAGGACGACTGTATATGGAAGACATGTCACATAGAGAATCATCTTTGTTTATCTGGGTTCATTTGGTTAAAGCAACAGGAGAACATCACAATTACTGTGATTTAGCTCAAGTAGCTTTACAAGAAACATGAGCAAATATTCACTTTCACTTTGATCTGATGTCCAGCTGACTTCCTAATGGTGTCCAGGTCTGATGTATAACCAGCCATGCATTCATTCTTTTTTCATTCCTGTGGTAATTTTTATTGATTCATTCATTTTTTTGTATCAAAAATATCCAAAGCTCCTTGAACTGTTTGTTTTTTCCAAAAAGCAGTCAAACACCAAAAAAACACATATAGTTTACTATCACAACAAATTTGAGGCTAAGACTTTAATTTTATTTTTTACTTTTGTTGCCTGATAAATAGCTTTAACTCTCAAAATAGTCAATGGCCAATTTTCTGCATGTTTAGCTCTAAAGCTACATCTCCATATAAATGTGGAGGTGAATGTTTTATTATTGCTGCATGAGTTTCTGCTCATACTACATCTCCTTCCAGTTAACTGTAACTATGCATGTATGATCGACAGCGGTGCCATATAGTAGTTACTGTCGGTTTCTAGACGTTATCTTTGTAGTACCTGTGAATCATAATACTGGTCTTGTTCTGACAGAAGAAGGTCAACATAATAAAAGCATAAAAAATCCCCACAATCAAAGGGCGAGGATTATCACCAACGTGGAAAACGTTGGAGTAGAAACACGCCCCAGATTCGGCCGAGCTCCTTTCATGCTCGTCTGCGCCCGTGACAAGAGGCGCATTTCACAGATAGAGCGCTCACTTTCAAGTCATAAAGGTGATATCATCCCAGAGGCTTTGAACTCTGGTCACAGAAAGTCTTAGAGACGTAGGTCAATGTCTACTTACACATGAAGCACACCCAGCATGTTTCTAACTACAGTCAGTTCTGGGAAAATAGTACACATCTCATATGTAAAATAATACGTTTGTCATCGGTTTCATTGTCGACACGTTCTCAGTTCTTCCTTCTACTTCTTCACCTCCTGATTCTCACTTTTCCAAAAGTACTTTGCATTGGCTGAGAGCTGACTTGAAAATAAAAGGCTGAACTTCTTCTGCAGAACAACACTCTTAAAGTTCAGCCTGAAAACAGTGACCAGAATTCATTTCTAGTTCTCGGCTAATTGCTAAATATCAAGTATGTTTACAGAAAATGCACTGCTAAAAAAAAGGCTTCTTTTGTAATGGGCTTCAGCTGGTGCCAGGCTGCAGCCGAGCCGTACCAGGCATCACAACTGTCATATTAAGGCCTCAGCGCTGAACTGCGAAGAGGGTGCATGTAGTGTGTGTTCAGCAAGAACACCGATGCCTTTGTGCAAACGGACTGAAGGCTACTTTTGTGTTATGAGATGTAAGACAGCAAGTCAGAGAGCACGAGTTGGTGGACGGCCACAGTGAGGAATTCTTAAACTGCACATCTCTTTTGTAAATGATAGTTGATCTATAGCTGGAGAGTCAAGTCAGACTCATCATTTAACTGTGTGTGCATTTGTTAATGTCTGCTTGTGTTCTTGTGACATGTATATGCGAGTGTTTTTATTGCTTCCTAGACTGTTAAATTTTAATCTTTATACCTGCATTTCACATAAACTTGGAGCTCGTTCTGAGTGGTAGAACTACAGTGGAAACCAAAAGTTTACATACACTGTGTAAAAAGACATAAAACACTTTTTTTCTCACTAAACTGCTGACTTTGAAGAAATAAAATATCTAAAAAATTCTCTCTCTCATTATTTTGACATTTAGCAAATAGAGATAATTTTGTTAATCCAAACTGACCTAAAACAGGAAAAGTTTGGTCACATTTACTGTCAGATAGTGAGAAAAAAAGGTTAGGAGTCTTTTTAGACAGTGTATGTAAACGTCTGGTTCTTCATATTTGTCATATAAAGACCTATGAAGTGTTTCCCAACCACAGCTATACTGGATACTTTAATTTCATCATCAGAATGAATAAATGACTCTAGTTGGAGAAGTTAAAAAAAAATATTAGAGGTCAGTTCAACCACATTATGAAAGAACATATTTCTTAATTTAACCTGTGTTATATCACCTTGCAGGTAAGTTATGAGATTTCTGAGTGAATTTGTGTGTGTGTGTGTGTGTGTGTGTGTGTGTGTGTGTGTGAGACGCTCATAGCCCTTAAAATGGGATTATATCAACAACACCTGGTGTTGCTGGAAAAGGTTTTCATTGGGACTGCTTGAGAAAACACATTATGTTCCAGAGTGAGCAGAACAATGTTTCAGAAACGACCAGTTGCTGCTGAACCTAAAAAAAAGTTCATTTTTCAATGCTTAGCACACTAATAAAATAAACCCTGAGCACTTATATTGGGTGAGCTGCATCATCGCAGCATTAGAGCTTCAGAATGTCACTGCTGTTCAAGTCTTCTGTGATTCTCTCTGCATTTCCTGTCAGGACTCTATGTAGTATCTTATAAAGACAGAAATTTGCCCCAAGAATGCAGCGGAGGCAGCTGCGCATATCCCACACACCAGACCAACCAACTATACCAGTAAGGGAAGATATTATAGTGTCTTGAACCAGCCTTGATGCTACATATTCTCCGACATACTTGTAAAAAGCAGCTTCCCACGTCACTGTGCTCTGGTATGGACACGTTGTACAGCTGCTGCTGGAACACCGGCTCGTTGTCATTCACATCCTCCACCAGCACTGTGACTGTAGCAGTAGATGACAGAGCCGGTTCTCCTCCGTCCACCGCCACCACCAGGAACCACACCTCCATCTGTGTCTCCCTGTCTAGAGATGCAGCCGTGGTGACCAGGCCCGACTCCGGGTCGATGCTGATCAGGCTGTCCTGGTTGGACCTCAGGATGGAGTATCTGATGTTTGAGTTGGCGCCTTCATCGGCGTCTCGGGCCTGAAGCTGGATGAGGGAGCTCCCCTGAGGAGCGTCCTCGGCAATGCTTATAACATGCACATCCTTCTCAAAGACTGGGTAGCAGTCATTTGTGTCAGACACCTTCAGGAGGAAGACCATCTCACTGCTCAGAGGAGGGCTCCCAAAGTCTGACGCTTGCACCTTCAGCTCATACAGATCCTGCTCTTCCCGGTCTAGCTCAGAGTTAACACACAAAGCATAAAGAAAATCATCTGTCTGCTTCAAGGTAAACTTCCCATCTCCTCCCTCTAGTGTGACAGTGACCTGCTCCCCCTCAAGATCAGGGTCTGACACTGAAATCCGAGCAACATAGTCCCCAATCGCTGCTGCCTCTGAAACCACTGCATCCCCTGTCTCACTGAGAAACAGCACACTGATGCTGGGACTGTTATCGTTGATATTAAGCACCTTGACGCCCACAAAAGTGCTGCTGTGCTCAGGCTGAGCCCCGTTGTCTCTCGCGCTGATGATCAGCTCGTGAAAGGCCTGCGCCTCAAAGTCGAGCAGCTTGTTGAGGTAAACCACCCCGGTGGTTTCATTGATGGAGAAAACTTCATTTGGGTCGCTCTGCCTCCTGTTGATCTCATAAGTGATTCTGCCATTGTCGTCCAGGTCGAGGTCGGTGGCGTACACCTGACACACAGCAGACATGACGGGAGCATCCTCTCGCACCGAGGCGTGGTATTCAGTCTGGTTGAACACAGGAGGGTTGTCGTTCTCATCCAGGACGTGGACGTTCACCTGAAGAGTCCCTGTCCTGGCTGGGATCCCGCCATCGAAGGCCTCAATGGTCAGGGAGTAGAAGTCCTGTGTTTCTCTGTCTAGCTTGCTACTCAGGACCAAATCCAGGTTGAGGTGGTTCTCTGATCCACTGCGATAATCCAAGTGGAACAACTCAGCCATTTCACTGTCTGTGATCCTGTATCCCTGCGTGCCAAACTCTCCCTCATCCTGATCTTTAGCACCTTCCAGCTGGAACCGACTCCCTGGTGGGCTCAGCTCTGATATGTCCAGCTCAAGCTGCTCTGAGGGGAACACAGGTGAATGGTCGTTCACATCTTTCACCTCTATGTTCACTCTGATCATCTCTCCAGTGAGCGTGGCTGCCACAAATTCATACTTATCTCTGCTCTCTCTGTCCAGGATCACAGCCGTGGAGATGATCCCCGTGTCCGCGTCGATTTCCAAGTCCCTGAACACATACGAGTCTCTGCTCTCTGAGATGAAGAATCCAGTGCTTGGCCTGCTTAACCCCGCTCCCAGATCCCCAACGATGGTTTTAGCAGGCAGACCCTCTTTAACAGACAGCGTCAGGTTGAAGACCTGTCCGAACGACTGCGCGCAAAGCAGCGACAGGACGAGCGTCCGGAGGAGCGAAGTTGGCGCATCCTTGCGACCCATTCCTCCTCTACACATGGCTCTGAGCTCTTTGGGAAATCGAAGTTGGGCTACATATTTCCCCCGAGTCAATGTGAAACTCCAAACTCACGTTTTAGAGCACTTTTCCGGACAAAAACGTGCCAAACGCATGGTGCATCTTTGCGCGGAGGAAAGCAGCCAGCAGTCATTCTCCATCACAGTATTTCAGCAGCTTGTTGCGTGATTCTGGAGACTAGAAATCCAAACATCGTGCAGCGCAAATCCCCTGGGCTCCTTCACACTACACGGCGCGTCTGAGTGTCCGCAGAGCGCCGACTGCGCGCACTGAACACACCTCCTGGCAGGCGGCTCGTCCCACGCTGATCGGCTCCATCTGTGGCCCTGATTGCTTAAGATTTAATTAGGCCGAGAGATTACCTTCAGTGGTGCGAGCTGACAGGTGGCGCAGTGCATCTAACCTGTTGAAGAGCCTAAAATGAGCTGGAAAGAGGAAGAAATGAAGAGATGACGCTCTATGAGATAATAAAGTGAGGTGGTACAGTCTGGCACTTACTCTCCTTCACTGTGGTGAAGTGGTGACTTAATCAAATGTACAGCGCTTTAATAAGGTTTTGGAGTTTTGGAAAAAAGTGCATCAAGTGTTGGTGTGGCTCCCTCAGCTGGTAAAAAGGAGAATTTGAACACTTCCAACATAAGATCAAGTTTATCCCGCCAGCTAGAGGCACAATCAATCATTTGCTTGTCTGCCACCTGTAAAAAAAAATGCAGAAAAAGATTCATTTACTTTCCAAATAGTTTTGTACTTTTTAAAAATAAGAGTCACACAATGTGGCATGCTTAGTGAGCTTTGTTTGATGAAATTGGAGGAAGGTTCACACACAGTTTTCAGCTTGAATTTTGGTCAATTTATTTAGGATTTTTAGGCAAGAATTTACCAAAAACAGACTCTTTCATGTCAAAGTGAAAACACTTTCTTACAAAGTAATGCTGAATAATTAAAAACACAAAGTATTAAATAAGTGGTTGCAGCAGAAGTGTTCAACCCCATCAAAGTGACACGCCTGCCTTAGAACAGGTGCAGCCAACTGGTGCTAAAAGTCACACAATTAGTGAAATGCAGGTCAAAATATATCCCTTTTAGCACAGTTAAGTCCATCATTAAGAAGTGGAGGAAATCTGACACACTCATCAATATTCCTAGAGCAAGCAATCCCTAAAAACTGTGTGATCATGCAAGAAGAGGACGAGTGAGGTAGGCCACCAAGACACTTCTGACTCCTCTGAAGGAGTGACAAGCTTCAGTGGCGAGTAGAAGAGACTGTGCCGACATCAGCTGTTGTCTGTTTGTCACCACTCAAAGCTTTATAAATGTGAGAGACTCTANGCAGTTCTGGATGTCAGACAACGTGACCCTGTCCCCTAAAGTGTCTGCCAACTTTGCCCAGCCCTTCAGAAAGAATAGGACATCTTTAGACCAGCAGCACTGACAAACTGTCTCTTAAACTCATGTTTAGTTTGACGTGTTTAGGTTAAGAACTCTGTTTGACCCGATTCTTTAGTTGGAATCCCAAGTACAAATCGGAGAAATCTTCAGTTCTCAGTTGAGTTTAATTTATTTAGGTCACAGGTAAAGTGAGGCAGCGCTGGAATTCAGAGGGACAGAGAGGAATCTCATGTCCAGCTGAACTGAGTTTTTTTTTTTGGTTTCAGGTTACAGATATCTTCTTGGGCTGGGACTACCCAGAACAGTACAGCCAGAGGTTGGACTTGTACGCTACTGAGTTTAATTGGCCAGTTACTGTGACATGAACAGTCTAACCACTGTTCATGTGGAAGTTCACTGAAATGTGAACAGAAACTGCTTGGATCAAATACAAAATGTGTGTGTGTGTTGTCCAGAAGGCGTGTATCTAAAGCAGCTGACAGAAAAGGGGAGTTTCCATTGTCTCCCACTTCTCACCAGCCATGTGATCTTCAAGGACGTATGCTGTGCTCAGTAGGAAAATACAAAACAGAATCATAGGCTCAGTGCAAAATAAAGATTCAGAATACAAACAGCAATAGCTCAAAACATACTTAATTATAAGAACCTTAGGCTTCACGGAAAAATACAGATTCAGAATACATAATAGCTGAAACATACTTAATTATAACAACTCTGTCGTATGTTGGCTGATATTCAGTTGCAGTGTCTTTTCAGCACAATGGTAACTGTAAATCACAATATAGATTGTGTGTGTGTGTGTGTGTGTGTGTGTGTTTTAAAATATTCAGAGGAGGTGAAAATGCTTTTCAGCTTTGGCTAGACCTCAATCTCACGCTTTCCAAAGACTGTGACAGGAGGACAAACCAGCGGTCGACAGGTTACTCACTACTGCCCAGAAAGCCTAAAGGTCACCCCCAAAAATGCTTAAAATCATCGAAAATATTTTGATAATTTGTGATTTACATATTTTTACACAAAAAGTTAAGTAGCTTGTTAAAACTTAAAAAAAAATAAATTATTACCACCTTGTCCTGAATTGGAAATTTTCTGCTTTATTTATATGTTAAACATTTTCAGGAGTTTCACTGCTGGACAGACTACTTTACTGTAAATCCGTTCTCAATGTGTGTGTACTGGAGGCTTCAGGTTTCCACATAACACCATGACTGGCTCCAAAATAGAGTTTTATTCTCATAAATCCTGCAGGTACATTTAGGTGAGCGCAGACAAACCTCATTTCAAGAGCTTTATTTGTCTGTGTTTTAGCAAATGACTTAATTTGCGTTTTTTTTTTTTTTTTTAATTTACAATTCTTTATTTATTTTACAGTTGTCCTCAGTCTCGTGTCACCTGCTACCACACAGTTCTTTGTGAGGCGGTGTCCTTGCATCCCTGTGAAA